CTCCTTGGAAAAGGCATCTTGTCCTCTTTAATTCCGCCTCCTTGATTTTGGTAAATGTCTGTCTTGTCTTCGGGTACATCTGCCTGTCTTTCCTCAGGAGGACTGTGCTTGAAGAGATGTGGGCAGAGATAACAGAGGTCAAATTCTTAGAGAAGGAAGGGCCGGAGTGGAGTCTGACTGGCTGGGAACGTGACTTGGGAAAGTGGGACTCCGTTTGCTGTTCCTTTGACCCCAGGACTGGTGGGTGGTGCTGTGACTGGCGACAGCAAAGTCGACACTGACCCACCGTCTGCCTTTGCCTCAGCAGGGCCAGCCCAGCCCCGGCGGCCCCTCCCGGCGGCGCACCTGCCTGTCCCGCGTTTGCAATGTGCTTTTCACCGAGGGTCGGGTTCTTAAGCCCGCTCCTCTTCAGAAGGGCAGGACCTCAAGAGGTTCAGTAAATATGATGTTGTCGGGTAGGAGGCAGTGCCTTGGTGAGGGCAGCCGAGTCATTATATAACCCGGCTCAGGACGTCTCGCGGGCAGCAGGCCCCTCAGGCATCTGGCGGGGATCCTGGGGCCTGACCCAGCTTGCCCACCCCCCACGGCCTTGGCTCCGGGTCTGAGGCTTGTAAACACTTCTCCGTCTGGCGTGCTTCGTCTTGCTGCCTCAGTCGGGCAAACTCAAGGCCACTTGCATTATGTGTTCACGGTTGCTGGCTCTGCGACTTCACACTAATGACCTGGCTTGTAAACAAAAGTGATGCCTCCTCAAGAAGCATATCATTTATTTTGTAACACCAGAATCATAACTTCTTTAAGAACTCTGTGTGCCTGCCTTTGGACCTGGCCTCCTCCGGGGACAAGTGGGATCAAAGCGTGGCTCATGCCTGGCCACCCGTGACTTGTTTGGTCCTGTCGAGGACACAGGCATATTTTCATGCATCTGTTAGAAAATAAAGTTGGGCCAGTTTTTCTGAATTGCTCCATCAGACGAAAAGAGAAGCGTGTGTGCAGAGCTTCCCACTGAGGTCATTACTCATCCCATAAGACATTTTTGAGTACCAATGACCGCTCTGTCTAGAAGCTTATGCCCTTTAAATAATAGAAACATATAAACATATCCTCTGTTGTTGGATTTACAAATCTTATTAATAGACAGTGCTAATTTAATCTTTAAAACAAAACAGCAAGCTTAGTATTATAATGTCCACTTTGCAGTCAGAGAACATAAACTCCAGCGAGGCTGTAACTTCCCCAAGATCTGAGAGCTCCCCGCCGGTCACATGTCCGCGTGCTTTTGCTGTGGGCTCTGCCATGGCACCGTGACGGATTCTGCACATCATTCGATGCAGTGCTTACTATTTCTTACTTTATTTTTCCATACTACAAAGCTGTGACTGCAGCTCTTTGAATTGTTGTTTTAAATGCAAATATTCTAAAATCTGAAGGCAAAGGATCAATGTATTCTAGAAACACTCTGAGGAGACCCAGGTAAATAAAACTACCACAGCCAAAGGGATGAGGGAAAATGACAGACTTCAGTCACTCTAACCTTTGAAAAATGTCTGCATTACTCTTTATTTTAAAGGGAGGCATTTGGGGCCCTTGTATTAATATCAACCACAGTGTTGATCATTCTTTCTGTTAAGTGATAAGAGCACAATTCTGATCTCTCGCCACCAATGCTAGAAAGATTTATTGGCATAGATAATGAACAATTACTGCACGCTCTGGAGGGCCCCTGGTGGGCGAGTGGGTCTGGTCTCAAGGTCTGACCTGCTGCACTGATGGCGCCTGCTGTGAGCCCCGTGTTGGGGAGAGTCCTGCCATTTTCCCGTCTTTCAGAAGAGAGCTGGCGTCGGTTCTGAGCAGTCAGGAGGGCTTCATGGGGGGTGTTTGCCTCCTGGATCCATGGGAAAGGCTGTCAGTGTGAAGCAGAGGGAGAATGTCTAGTGAGGGGTTGGATCTCAAGCCAGCAAGCAAAGCTGTTGTCGTAATACCCAAGAAAGCCCCTCAGGAGAGGGTCACCACATGCAGGGCAGCAGTTGTCCCTGGACATGACATTGGGACAGTCCCTCCATTTCATGGACCAGCCCTGGGGGTACTTGAGACCCTGTGCTGTGCAAAACAGGAATCTTCTCACAAGAGAATCACCTTCCCTGTGCCCTGAGGGCGTTTGGGAGCTGCCCAGCCTGGGACCCGCAGATTCCCATCTCCTTCCCTCCCTCACCCAGGGCACCAGCATGGCCTCTTCCTCCCCGGCCTGCTGGAGGAGGGTTGGGATTCCTGCCCGCTGAGTCACTGTGTTGTGTGCAGCTGTCATGAGAGGAGCAGAGCTGAGGCACAGCCCGGGCTCCTGGAGCAGGTGGGCAGGACCTGGCCAACAGGGAGCCCCAGGGTTGGGGCGAGCTGTCCCCACGGTGGGCTCTTTGATAAATTGGGTGGGTGGAAAGGAGCTTCCGTCGTCCTGCAGAGGGAAAGCTCCCTGGGAAAGGGAGCAGTGAGTGGGTGGACGATGCGCTGCCTCCCCCTTCTGCAGCCCTGCCCTGGAGCCTGCAGTGCCCCCATGCTCACCAGGGACACTACCTGCCCAGCAGGTGCTCGCCCTCAGCCACTGCCCGAAGTGGGGAACGCGCTGCTGTCCTTGCTGCTGTGCTTGCGGCTGTCCTTGCGTGGCTGTGCTGGGTCTGCCTTCTTGCCGGCTGTCAGCTGCTTAAGACCTTGTTTTTATTGGTCAAGGCTCAGTTCCCCTAAATATTCATAAAATTTGAGAGCAAGACTGGCTTGAATCTGGCTTGAATCTGGGCCTCTCTTTTCCTTTTCCCACCCCAATCTCTTTTCTCTGCCCACTTCCCTGGCAACTGGCGGGAGAGGACAGACAGGGGCGGGCGCCACAGCCTCAGTAGGGCACGTGTGGGTTTATCCCCAGCCCGAAGGGCTCCCCCCTGGGAGTCTCCACTGCAGCATGACCTGGGCCACAGCACTTACGGATGGTGAGTGTTGTGCGTGGGGAGCTTAGAGGAGGGGTAAGGGTCCTCTCAGAACATTCTGGAAGCAATGCTGTGAGATTGGCCTTTGCTTGAGTCTTGCCGAGAAGGTGGAGGTTCCCAGACAGGTGGGAGAAGATCGGTGGCCATTGTGCCACCGGCTGTTGCAAAACAAGCTGAGGGTTTGACGTTGCTTCCCAATTCACGTGCGGGCCAGGCCCGGCTCTGGTCCCTGTGTTTACAGCAGCCCCGCTGGCGCCCGCTGGTGCAGTGGAGGCTCAGCATGTGTTTGTCAACAGGGAACGCGGCTCTGCGGCCTTTTTTCCATTTATTTATCAGACCAGTTCCTTATAGATAGCACAAAGGTAAACAGCTTCTGGGTCTGCCTCGAGGGTGGCAGTTCCCAGCATTCCTGGGCGGAGGCTGCTTGGGCCTTTCTGTCTTCCGGTGGAACAGTTTCTCTGGCCAGCGGAGGACAGAACCTTCCTCGGGGAGTCCCCCCACGTTGCTGGTCTGGGTCGCACTTGCAGCTGCTTCTCATTTACCTTGGTGAAGCGAGTGATGTTTTAAGGCCATCTTTCACCAAGAAAAGTCTCTTACGAAAAGTGGCTACCTCTGAAAGCTGCCCCTTCTCCCTGTTTGACCTGACAGCAGAATCCAGCCTGATTTGGGCCCTGGGCCCCCCGGGGACCCTGGAAAGATGCCACCACCCGGGGGCCCTGCCCCTGCTGTCCGAGTGAGGGGTGTCCTGTCCTTGCAGTACTCCCCGACTGTGGCCTGAGAGCCCCCACGGCCAGTGCCACACTCAGGCAGGAGACGCAGGGAGGCCCCAGGTGTAAAGATGGGACAGGACATTCAGGCTCTGCTCTGCCCACCGTCCCAGGGCCGAGTGTCTGCCCATTGGCACAGACACTAGGGCACCTGAGCTGCACCCCAGGGACCCAGTGAGCCCCCAGCTCCAAGGCTGGGGCATCCCAGCCTGCGTTCAAATCCCAGTGGGGTGATTCTGAACACGTGTCTTAAACAACCATCTCCAGGACCTCCGGACAGCTGGACATGGGAAATTAAATGCCAACCCCCCTCTCTGCCTCTCTCTCTCTCTCTCCCCCTCTTTCTGTATCTCCCTCTCTCCCCCCGCCTCCGTCCACCCTCTCTGTCTCTAAATTATAGCATGCACATATCTCTTAGCATATCATAGACAGTAATGACCAGCTGCTGCTTCTTTTGTGAAAACAAAGGCTTTAAGTTGAAACATGGAGTGTTTAAATGAAAGAAAAACTTCAGGCCACCACCATAATCCCAGCACTCTGGGAGGCTGAGGCAGGAGGATCGCTTGAGGCCGCGAGTTTGAGATCAGCCTGAGCAACATAGGAAGATTCTTTCTCTATAAAAAATAAAAAAAAATAGTCAGGTATTATCTCTGCAGTCCCAGCTACTTTGGAGGTTGGGGCAGGAGGATCACTTGAGTCCAGGAGTTTGAGGTTGCAGTGAGCTGTGATCATACCACTTGCACTCTAGCCTGGATGACAGAGGAAAACCCTGTCTCAAAAAAGGACAAAACAAAAAAACACAATTGATCATCTATGGCTATACCACCGTGAACACACCCGATCTCACCTGAAAAACTTCATCACCAACAGTTAAAATTTAGAAAAAAAGAGACTGTGGAATTTCATTTTTCAGGTGTCTTCCAAAGCAGGGCACATTCCCGTGGTCTGAAAGGGCTCGGGCGTGGCCCGTCTGCAGGCTGAGCACAGCGGTATTTCAGAACTGTGGTTCCATGGCAGCAGCACAAAAAGTCTATTGAAGCGTCTTGCGGAACCACACGCCAGTGGCAGCAGTGTGGTGCCCTGACTGCCACAGTGGCCGTCTCCACGTGCCACGCCCAGGGTCAGAGCTCCAGCCCACACTGGACTCTGCCGCGTGGCGTCAAAGCGGAGGCCCCGCTGCGCCGGCCTCCACGGAGCGCGGTCCCTGCTGGGCGTCGTGCTCTGCTGCAGCGTGCGTTTCTGCTTTCCCTCCTTAACCCAGGTGAAATGCTACCACAAGAAATACCGCTCGGCCACCCGCGATGTCATTTTCCGCCTGCAGTTTCACACCGGGGCCGTGCAGGGGCACGGGCTGGTGTTTGGAAAGGAGGACCTGGACAACGCCAGCAAAGGTGAGCGCGGCGGCCCTGTTCCTCGGTGGTCCCTTTCAGTGTCCTTCCTACCCCTCCCCAATATTTAGCCTATTGACGAAATTCTTACCAAATCAGGAAAAATTGATGATCGGTCTGTGGAAGGAAAAAAGTATAGAGAAATAATGAACTGCCCATGTTCCTGTGCCATTGGGGTTCTGTCACACATTTGGCCGTGGTGCCATACTGGTTGGAATGTGAGGACAGAATACTCCCAAATCATCTACGAACGTGTTCATGTTTTTTTTTTTTTGCAGATGACCGTTTCCCTGACTACGGGAAGGTTGAATTAGTCTTCTCTGCCACGCCTGAGAAGATTCCAGGTGGGTGGCTGGGCAGAGCGTGGGGCGTCCACGTTGATGCTGGTGGAAGGTGGCCGAGGGCTGCACTGCGGTGGCCGTACTAGTCCCCCCACTTTGCACACAGCTGGAAATTGTTGTGATTAATTTTCTTAAAAAATAGGATATTGGCCAGTGGAGAGGAGGTGGCTTGGTGACAGGAAGGCCCGCTTGGGTCAGTAAGCCCCGGAGGTGGCAGGACTTGCTCACGGCCCCTCGGCAGAGGAGGGCCGGGAACCTCTAGGATGGTGGCCGCCCACTGGTGTCCCTGAGGGCCCATCTTCCATCTCCTGCAAGACTGAGCTAAATTTTTATTTCTCCCTTCAACAAACATTTTTTAAAAAAAGAGCATAGAAGTGTAGTAGGCCGCAAGTATTTATGCGTATAACAAATTCTCCTAAAAATACATTTAAGAGGAAATCAGTCCCTTTATCATCAAACTGAATTGTTCAGATCCATCACTGGGGTCCACATGCCATGAAAGTTTTATTCCATTTTTAATAACTTTGGAAAATAATCACCTCTTGTCTACGCTCATTGCTGTAGATTTAGGTGAGAACCTTTAAATGCGAGGCCCGTGTGTTCAAAGTGCTCTCGGCATCCTCAGAAAGGCTGGAGGGAGGACGGTGGATCTGGGAGCCTGGAGCCTGGGCGCAGACCCATGGGCCCTGGATCCTCACTGGCCCTCTGCGTCCTCCTCTCTGCGGCAGTGCGAAGGCTCCTGTTTTGTAGAACTCAGAGTCTGCACCTGGCACACGGTGCAGGCCGATGCTCACCTTTCCTCACCCTGAGTGGTTTGAACGACTGTTGGTCTGTGGAAACCGTCCACACTCTCGAGCTAGTGCTGTGGCTTGTGGGGGAGGGGAGGGAGAGGAGCGGCTTAACTGCCCCACGCAGGCGTGCCGCCCACCACCCTCATGGCGGAGTCGGGACAGAAGTGCTGGGCCACACCAGGCCTCACCCTGCCGCCTGTGCCCCGTGCAGGGTCTGAAGATGTGCACAGCAACCACGGAGTGGTCGTGGACTACAACACGGCAGACCCACTGATCCGCTGGGACTCGTACGAGAACCTCAGTGCAGATGGAGAAGGTGCGTGCGGTCGTCTTGTGTGCAGAGCTGCCGAGGAGAGGGGCGTGGGGAGGACAGCCTGTTCGCAGATCGGAAATGTTCTGCCGTCTGCTCAGAAGATGGAAATCTCCCTGTCTTCTCAGAGGTGCAGAGCCACACCTTTGTGTGGCAGAGTTGTGAGTTTTGAGTGTGTTCATGAGAATCAGGTGTAAATTTGGGTCAGGACATTTTACAAAACTGTGATGGGCGGTGACTGGTCCTCGGCGGCGTTCCCTCCAGGAGCTTGTTTGCCAGACGTGTGTGTGTTCACTGCCGGGGCCTGCCCCGCCTCCCTCCTTCCTGGGTACACGTGGAGCACCCTCCTTGCTGTGGCGCAGCCCCGCGGGCAGCAGACATTTTGGTTTCATTCCTGTTTGCTTGTTACCGTGGTGTCCCTGTTTTATGGCTGTGTCATTTTAATTCTGTTTTTGTGAGTCCATCTCACTCAAACATGCCCTCTGTCCACCGACGGAATTTACCATTTGGGTCACACGTAGAAGCAGGAGGAGGAGAGGCACGCGGGGACAGCCGCACGCTGGGGTCACCACAAGAAACAGCCGGAGGTTGATTTCAAAGAGGGGGAATCCAGGTTTGCTCCTGGCCCGTAACGCCTGTCTTTACTCTTTGGCAACCCCTGCCTGAGAATCAGATTTGATTTGGGAGAGAAATTAAAATACCTTTTGTGAAATTAGTTACATCCAGATGTAAAATATGTAAAAGCAAGTGTCGTGGCAGTAACATCCCCTAGCTTTCTGGATTGCTGACCTTCCAGTGACTCCAGAAGAGGGGCGGCTGTGGCCGCAGAGAGGGGACATTGGTGGTGTGTCCCAGGGCAGCACGGGCTCCTCTCTGCTTGTGCCGGGGAGAAACACGCTCCTTTGCGGGCCGTTTGGGGTGAAATTTCAACTCAAGGAATTATTGGGAGCCCAGATACGCCCGGACCAGAGTGGAGACCCACAAATGGAACGTTAATGCCGAGGGCGTTAAGACTTAGGTGAAGGCTGGGGTCAGCGGCAAGGTGTCGTGGAAGGGGAGAGCCTTTCTCTGGGCTGTGCGGTGAGCAGGGTTCTTTCCTGGTGTGAGTTATGCATAGCACCAGTCCTTCACGGGGACCCGCATGGGAAAGAATGACAGCTGAAAACTTTTGGAAAAACTGCACATTGTGTCTTAAAAGGTCCACGGCTCATGTTGGAACCTCAAGGCTGTGAGAATGACGCATTTTAACTTTATTCGAACAAGCGTTATCAAACTTCTGATCACGGAGCCTTCCTCCAGTGATCTCTATGAACGCACTGCGTAGCTGTTTCCTGTTGACCTCACTGTGTTTTCTGCTGGAGGGGGGAAGGGTGAAGGGATGGCTCGTGGAGAAGTGGGTGAGTAAGTACCCAAGGCAGGACGATCAGCGGAGCTGATTCGGAGAGCTGGACAGCTGAGCCCGAATCCTGGCCGCCAGGCCCAGGAAGGTGGATTTGATTAACGAAGTCTGCGCCCTGGGGGAACTGGCACGCAGAGGATGCGATGAGATGATGAATTGGCAGCCGTCCGCAGAGTCTGCCGCACACCCAGGGATGTGGCCAGGCAGCCACGTTGCTGTGGCAGCGGTGCAAGGACGCTCTGGTGGTGGCGGGAGGTTCCTTGCTTGCTGAGGGAGGGGCGGGCCCGGGGGTCATTGGCCGTGGGAAGGCAGGGTTTCTAAAACCACGGGGCACAGGGCGGGTGGCCTGTGTGCTGACACCATGGAGGGGAGCGGTGGAAAGTCCGGGGGTGGCGTGGAGGACCCCGGGTCCTGGTAGCAGAGACTGTGCTGAGGGCAGTTCTGTACTCAGCTCCTCCATGGACACTCCTCCTGTCCCCAGCCGGCCCTGGGCTGAGCCTGTGACCTGCCTGCGGGGAGGGCTTCATCCTTCCCACTTCACATCCAGGGAGCTGAGAGCAGACAGGTGCCCAGGGCCACGTACCTCAGAAGTGGTAAAGGATCCATGTTGGTTTTACCTGGGAAATCAAAACCAAAGAGACAGATGAGTGTTCATCACTCTTCGGGGGTTATATGTAAGTTTACAGAAAATGTATAGAAGTGTGTGTATGAGCATGTGTATTATAGATACGTGTTATAGAGCAGCGGTCCCCAACCTTTTTGGCACCAGGGATTGGTTTCATGAAAGACAATTTTTCCATGGTTGGATGGGGCGTGCAGAGCTCAGGTGGTGATGCCAGTGATGGTGAGTGGCTGTAAATACAGATGGACCTTCACTGGCTCGCCCGCTGCTCACCTCCTGCTGTCCTCCCCAACTCCCTGCCCCCCAGTTCCTATGTTTCAATTTTTCCACCGACCGGGTCGGGGTGGAGGGTGGCCGAGCTCTGCAGCCTGGTCCCTAACATGCCACCGACTGGTACTGGTCTGCGGCCGGGGGGTTGGGGACCGCAGTTACAGAGGACTTGCCTTTATAGCCAGTCAAAATAGTCACGGAACACAGGAGAGCGGAATTCAGCATTAAACGCCCTGGACCACAGGAGTTGTCACCCTCTGAGGATACAGAGGGAGATACTTCTTTACTTAGATACTGTCTCCATCTGTTCAGGCTACTGTAACGGAGTATCATAGCCTGGATGGCTTAAACAACAAAAAGCTGTCTATCCATCACAGTTCTGGAGGCTGGGGAGCCCAAGACCAGGGAGCTAGCGTGGTGGTCGGGTTCTGGCGAGGCCTCTCCTGGTTGCAGGCTGCTCCCTTCTCATGTCCTTGCGTGGTGGCAGCGAGGGAGGAAGCTCTCCAGGTCTTCTTTCACAAGGGCACTAACCCTATTCAGTGGGCCTCCACCCTCATGACATAATCACCCAAAGGCCCCACCTCCTAATGTCATCCCATGGGGCGTTAGGCCTCATCATATGAATTTTGGGGAGATGCAAATATTCATTCCATAGCAGACACTGAATATGTGTTTGTGAATGAATGGTTAAAGAAACAGTTTGAGCTTTGAATGTCTAACGCCCTGATGCAACAAATGACAATTTCTGCTGGTGTATTTTTCACTCTGCGTCTCTTGAGCTGGGGTGTGAAGCAGGAGGGAGAGCCTGCACTGCAGTCTTTGCAGCTGGTGGTGCTGGGCCACGCCGGTGGACAGTCTGGGCGGCAGGCATCACTCACAGGACTGCGCAGCCGAGTGCCAGGTCTGGGACGAGCAGAGAGGGTCTGGCATTGCCGCACAAGGGAGGGAGCCAGTTGGGGCGGATGTGCAGAGTCCTGGAGAGAAACTGAGAAGGAATAGGGAGAGGGCCGGGGGCGCACCCGGGAGAGAGTGGCTCCCAGACTGGTGGGCGGCGAGTGTGTCAGGGCACGCAGGCAGCCAGATCCGCAGCTTCTCTGTGATTACTGAGTCCCCGCTTTAAACTCCGCTTTCCATGAACTAACTTTGCTGTGTGAAAATCATGCACTTCGGGGGCCGTTGAAGGAAGGATCGTGTTCTGTGGCAATCGCCCTGCCTGGCAGTCTCGGGTTCTCCTGGGCCAGGGCTAGCCGTGCCCGTCTATTCTGCCACCACCACTACTTCTGTTGCTCTGTCTTCAAGGTCTTGAATTATTGTCTCCAGCGCAGCCAGGGGCAGGCGCTGCTGGGGACTGCTCTGAACGCTTGGAATTGTCTTGGTTTCTTTGACTCTAGCGATTTCAGTTAACTTCAGGACGTTTGTGGGGGATGGATTTGTTGGGAGGCCATGGGATGACTTGTAGAGCCATCTGGCGTGGAGGTTTTGGAAAGGACGGCACCCATGCAGCTACTCTGGCCTCTGAGCGGCAGCCGCCAGGGACCCTTGGCAGGGACCAGCAGTAGAATGAGGGGCCACAGCCACTCAGCCCTGGCGTCTCCCTGCAAGAGGAACTCTGCAGGGCGTTGCTTGGCTTGTGTGCCCAGCTGTGGCCGGAGTGGGCAGGGTGCCCCACCCAGCCTGCATGCAGGGAGGGGGTAGAGGGCTAGTTTCCCAAAGGGAAATCCAAGTGTCGTCCCTGAGGAAGGGGAGGTGGGTGCTGAGCCCGGCACAGTAAAAGACGCCCACTTCAGGGAAACCCACATGTCCATTGGCTCACTGAGTGGTCGGCAGCAGGGAACAGAGTCCCGTTCACCATCTCAAGACGTGGCTGTGTCTGTGGGTTCAGCAGCACCACGAGGATCACAGGCTCTGGGGGCCATGTTCTCTGAGGGCCTCCAGGCTCCATAAAGCAGCAGGGTCACACCCGGGCTCCCATAGATGCGGTGGGTGAGAGGGTAGCCCCCCACCCCCCAGAGTGCCAGATGGCTACGTGTAGTCTCGATGGCCCCCGAAGCCCATGCACACTCCTGGGGAGCACAGCTGGGGGCCTCAGAGCCCGGGCTGGGTACCCGGGTGCCTTGCCCAGAGCCCCCACGCAGCATCCCAGTCCTCTCCCAACCCCTCGAAATATTGCCCGAGCACTCCTGGGGACGTCTGGCTCCCAGCAGACAAGGAGTCTTTCCTGGGAGCTGCACCTCTTCCTCCTGTTGACAGAATCGGGTGTTATCGAGCTGTCTGAGGCACCCGATGCGATGGAGTGAGTTTTATGTTTTTCTTTTCTTTTTATACATAAATTTCTGCTTGTATCAGTATTGTTTGAAAACACAGACTATCGAAAAGAAAGAAGGAAAATTCCTCCCCCTGCAATCTTACTATCTAGAGCAAAGCACTCATCTCTGGTGTATTTTAGGCACGGTTTCTAAACACCATGTTAATGTTTCACAATAGGATCAACCCAGGCATTGTTTTGTAACCTGCATTTTTCACATAACCTACCTCCGTGAGCATCTGTGCACATCTGCAAACATTTCTTCTATACCCTGCTCGTTGACTACACTGTCTTCCATCAGAGGGGCCACCGAAGTGTACCTGAGGTCATGGCTCCACTGCTCTAGGGTGTCCGAGTTCTCACTGTTACACAGAGCTTCGGCGGAAGGGGGTCCTCGTGGGAGGCTGTTC